TGGCCTCCAACCTACTAGCGATGGCCTCCAACCTCATAGTGTTGCCTTAAACCCAATAGCGACCACTACTAGCAATGGCCTCCAACCTCATAGTGGTCCCTCCCACCTAATAGCGATGGCCTCCAACCTACTAGGGATGGCCTCCAACCTACTAGCGATGGCCACCAACCTAAATGGGCTCCAACGTACTAGCGATGGCCTCCAACCTGCTAGCTTCGGCCTCCAACCTAATAGCGATGGCCTCCAACCTGCTAGCGATGGCCTCCAACCTACCAGCAACCGCCTCGAAGCTACTAGCAATGGCCTTCAACCTAGTAGCAGGGGCTTCCTAAAAACACTTTACTTTCAAAATGACCTTACTCACCAGGGCACAAGTGGGCACCGGAGTTGCTGCGTCTATTCTGGAGTGTGGTAGAAAAGAACGAAATATGACATCGAAGGATCTGAAACTTCCCATGCTCCTAGTAGCTCCTAGTCGCGATGCCAGGAGCTACTAGTAGCTTCTTGCTCCTAATAGCCTTTAGGCTCTTCCGCACACACACACACATATCTTTTCAGAAAGTTCTTTCGACAAAACGGCCCACAATAGGATCCTAATATTGGCTGACCAGCTATGTCAACCAAATACCAGAAAGCCGCTGCTGGCTGATTGTATAGGATGCTCTGGGATTGATCCATCAAAAGGCTCATTCCTTTGGGCCTTGGCAACCTGCTTGTCGTTTGACGTGTATATATATATATATATATGTATTTAGCTTGTAGCAATCTGTTGCAAACCAACCCTGCTGCATCAGGCCCACGTGGAGTCTAGCACAGTTACTGATCAAGGGTGTAAGTGCCTGAGCAAACCAAAACACTCCAGCAAAACCCTTCAAAAGACAAACAACTCTGGTGCAAACAAGCCCCAGGAAGCAAAGACACATCAACCGCATTCAATGATTAATTACATGTTTTCTTTGGCAAAAAAACAACCTGCCAGGACAGGACTCAAAGCTGAAGTGGGAAGACCGGCAAAGACCACCCCGTTGAAATCCGTCGACCTCGTTCGCTCGAAGCCCGTCGTCCTCGATTGTGGGTTTCAAGGTCCCCAAGCTCAGAGTTGAGCTCCTGTGATGCGAAGTTCGCTACTAGGAACAAGTGCATCGCTACTAGGAACAAGTGCCTTACTAGTAGTAACAAGAAGCTACTAGGAACAAGTGCCTGACTACTAGGAGCAAGAAGCTACTAGGGGCTCCTGGCCTTACTAGTCGTAACAAGAAGCCATTAAAAACAATAAGCACAAGTGACGTACCGTTCCTTTGTTCTCTGTCATGACGTACATGCGCTCGAACTGATTCGCCACTGCGTTGGACGATCTCTACCGGGAGCGCAACCAGCTGGTGGTGTGCTGATTGAAACAATGTGGGACGTGAAGGTGGCAATGAGAAAAGCATGTACTTAGATGCTTGGAATCTTCATTAAAGATTGTAGAAAGGAACGACCCACTGATTAACATCTTCACTTCCAAAGTCAACGACTGTTTTTTGGGGGTAGGCCGCAAAGAAGAGAGGTAGAACAGCCAAGTAGGTAAGTAGAAACGAGTAGAAGTGAGAAGAGCCACTCGAGCCTTTTAAACAAGCTAGTGGTGGGAAGACAGGAAGGCAAAAGAAGAAACAGCACAAACGAGTCTTAAAAGAAGAAGAATTAGAAGAAAACTAAGACTAAAACTAGACAAGGAGAAAAGGGAAAAACAAAAGTCGCTCCTTCCGACTTTCGAACCACCTCTGAACAACATATCTTCCGACCTTTCGATAATCTATGCAGTATATGTTTGTATCTTAATGTCTTGGGCTGATTTGTGAAACATCATTTCTTTGAACAACATATCTTCTATCCTTATCCTTTACGACATCTTTAGACCATCTTCTATCTTCAACATATTCTTTTCGTGTCAACTGTAATTCTTTCTTTCGCCTTTGGCTTGCACTTTCCTCCACATATTTTTCCACGTGCTCCACCACATCTTCCACCTCGTAGAAGGGCGAAAGCCTGTGGAAACGCCAACGGTGCTGAAACAAGTCACGCAAACCGCTACTAGGAACAAGTGCATCGCTACTAGGAACAAGTGCATCGCTACTAGTAACAAGTGCCTTACTAGTAGTAACAAGAAGCTATTAGGAACAATAAGCTATTAGTAACATATTGTTTCTTATCTTCCTGTTTTCACATATCCTTTAAGGTCCTTCGTGTCTCATTGTCCGGTATCAAGCCCAATGATTAATTCGGTTCACTCTGAAATCTGTGGCTTTGAACCAAAGAACGGATGAGCTACTCAGAGGCTGTGTTCGATGTCAGTCAGGAGCATGTGAGGCTTTGCTTCGACTGAACTCTCTGTGCGGGTGACCCATTCAAGACTTCGAGCTACAGCTTTGTGGTCCAATGAGGCATGAAACATGCTATTCTTAATCCGTCGGTCATAGTCTGTACGGAAAACTGACTTAATTGCTCGCCTCAGCATAGATCGCTTTGAATCCTCGTTTATTGAGTGAGAAAATATGAAAAAATCTATGTCGTGATCCAAACCTTTCCTGACCAGGTGTCTACAGTCCCTTTCCCCTCTGTGTGCCCAATCACACGCTCGCAAACTCAACTGCAGAGAATTTCTGAAGAAAGAAAAGCACGTCCACACACATTGAAAAAGAGTTGTCGGGTGGTCACGTGTATTCCCGCCGCCTGATGTCACCACTGATGGTGGTCTCAGCGGGGATCTGGTTGAAAGAGCCCTTGGAGCTCTCGATCTGAGTGGGCTTCATGTGTGACCTCACGCTGCTGTTCGAGATCGCTCGAACTCAAATTTGGAACTCTCTCCAAAAAGGTCCCCAAACAAATTTTAGCAGAGTTGATGGCTTCTATCCATCGCCAAGATCTATCCAGATCTGAGTAGACGAGTCGCCCTGTTGCAAAAGAATAGAGCTCCTCCTCTGGCAGTGGTGGAAAGTCGTTGAAGAACCTCTCCTGATGAAACGAGAAAGTCGGCAGTGCCACGCAAGCAAATCCAGAAGTGTGTTTGGTCGTTTGTCTTTTTGTGAAGATCGTTTGTTTAGGAATCTTTTGGCGCTAATCTTCCGATGGTGGGGTGATCATTAAGCCTCCACGGACCGATCGAGTACCAGTTTAGCTTGCTCAAGTCGTTGATTGATCGCTCTCTCTCTCTCTCTCCCTCTCTCTCTGTCTTTTTTTATCAGAAATCCGGTTTCTCTCTCTGAATCGAAAGCATTGACAGTCCTGGACGAAAGCAATGGCCTCAGAAACATTGAGAAACGGATGATCACAGTGACTCCCTTTTTGAATCTGCTGGCCAATCCGCAAAAACTCATTTCTATCGTGGGCGGAAGTTCGATGCTTGTGAAGAGCAAAGGTTGCCCCCTCAAACACGCACGACATCCGGCGCCTCTTGAGCCAGCTCGATGCTATTGATGCCCTTGTTGGGAAATCCTGAGCACAGGGGATGTGCATCCAAGGATGTGTCTGCACCCTGACCAAAGAATTTGCAGTCATTGGAATGACATGGGCGGACATTATGCTCCATACATTTGCCAGTACTAAGTCAAACTTACCAGCCAACTCCATGAATGCAATACTGAACTAATGAGGTGGGCGATGGCCACATTGCTTTTGATTGTCTACGGAGGTCTGGAATGAAAGTTACTAATTATATTCCATTGCCAAACACGACCATCCTGCCCACGACATGTCCTCGTATAATTAGCTGCAGAATGGTGTTTGATGGTTTTTGTGTGGGGATCCACTGTACCACAAGTGGAGGGACTTTGCAAAGTTCCCCAATCTTTTCCAGCATCAACACTCTGGTGGCAGGGAGGCTGACTGAGGTCTCTTTGAATCTCTCCATCTGCCAAGCAGCCGCTGTGAAATAGTCGGCCTTTGCACTTCAGTTGCCTAGTGAGGAACACTTGGAGGGCGTTTGAGACCCACATGCAGGGTGATGTCGATTCAGTGTAGCTGTCAACCAAACCAAACTCTATGTTTTTCTGGCTTGAGCAACCCCGCATGCAGTCCACCGTATAAATCCCCAGTGGCGGCCGGGTCGACCAGTTCAGTCGCTTGCGGCAAAAAAACATGGTAGATCAATGGCGTGCCCGAACTTCATGTCACACATTCACCATCGCTTCTAGGGTGGAGGCCATTGTCACCGGTGCCAGGTGGCCGCACCATGATATGGCCCCTGCAGTGCCACAGCAGGGGTTTGAGTCTGCTGAGTCCACCTTGGTGAGACACAGCGACACAACTGCCATAAAAGGACTTGTGTTTCTTTTGTGTTCTAAAGAAAAGACAAAAAAATACAAGTCGAAAGAAAGACACGGAGGAAATGTCGAAAAAAACATACGAACTCCTTAAATTGCTCTACTTCGAGTGATCCCCACCATGACATTTCAATCATTTGTCTTCGTGCCATGGTGAGGAGTATGTTGCCATGGTCGTGAGTTTTGTGGTTCGCGACTTTGTTTGTGGGTCCTCGGGCTGTGTGCTGTGATTGTGGTTGTGTGTTGTGGTTGTGTTTGTGATTGTGTTTGTGAGATTGTGGATGTGTTTGTAGTTGTGTGTTTGCGACTGTGTGTTTGCCGAAGCTCACAGTTGAGGTGTGGCGGGGAACACTGCCATCGGAGGAGGAGGACCGCGAGGAGAACGAGAAGGACGGCAGCGGACATAAAATCTAATAACCATCACCTGACAGGTGGGGAACTAGCTCCTTCTGCTGTTCTTCTCTTGTTCTTCCTGATTCATTATCTTCTTTAGACCTCTAAGCCGCCACAATATCCTCAGTTGCCTTCTGGAGCAAAGCGGCCATTAGTGCTGTTAATGTTGCATGTTTTCCTTCGACGCAAATGGCAGCTTGGAATGTGCCTTCATGCTTGGAGCCTTGGTCTCTTTTGGTCTTTTTAGAAATTTCACGTTTCAAAGAGTAGGGGCAACAAGGAACCAATTCTGGCTGTAACGCAGGCGCCAATCTGCGCCGGGGCCTCCTTCAAGTAAAACGGCCCCCTGGGTATGGAGTTGAGCATGTCTGTAGCCACAACGCCCAAACATCCAGGGCGGAGTCGCTGGCTCTCCAAGAGTTGTTGGCCCTTCAAGTGAGATAGCGCCATAGTCCATGAGGGTCCAAAGGCTTGAGTCCAGATTATTCCTCTTGTGCATTATCACAGTGTGGCAGTGCCCTTTTTTTTGCTCCTCTTGCGTCAAAGGAGTGTGCTAAGTCCACCGCCCAATAAACAGGGCCATTCTTTGCCTGGCAAGCAGCAAATATCGTTTGCTTTAAACCTTCCAAAGGCGCAAGAAACGACCCTCAACGGACCCACTATGTTCGGAGTCACAATCCTTTGTTGAACTCTTATGTGCAACATTGATTCATCTAGGGGCTCCTGGCCTTACTACTAGGAGCAAGGACGCTACTAGGGGCTCCTGGCATCGCTACCAGGAGCATTGTGACTACTAGTAACAAGAAACTACTCCCATTCAGAATGGCACGCACCTGCCAAGCTGTGCCAGTCCGCGCCTCTTCGAGTTTGCCTTTCTCCAAGACTTTGTCGACTCCAACCTGCTTCTCACCGCCTTCCTCTGCCGCGATGAACACAACCACAATGCCTCGGACAACCAAAAATTGATGAATGACACTGATAACTAAAAAACAAACATGTTATGTAATATACAAAAATATGGGCTATATACTAGCGATGGCCCGATGGCCTCCAACCTAATAGCGATGGCCTCCAACCTACTAGCAGTGGCCTCCAACCTAATAGTGATGGCCTCCAACATACTATAGCAATGGCCTCCAACCTAATAGCGATAATAGCGATGGCCTCCAACATACTAGCGATGGCGTCCAGCCTTATGGCGATGGCCTCCAAGCTAATAGCGATGACCTCCACCCTAATAGCGATGGCCTCCAACCTAATAGCGATTGCCTCCACCCTAATAGCAATGGCCTCCACCCAATTAGCAATGGCCTT